GGCCCGCCTGCTTTCAGCGCCCGTTGCCGCTCGTTGGCCGCAGGCAGGGGTGAAGTGGGCAGCTGCCCAGGACAGCAGCTGGGGAGGTGGTGAGGGCTGAGATGACAGCCAGCTTTACTCGTGCTGGCACGCAGCAAGCATGGCCTGAACACCTGAACCCCCTCCTGCCTGGGAGGCACGATACCCCCTCCTTGCCCTCTGAGCTCCCTGCTGCCGGCGGAGGCACAGCTGAAGGCTGTGGGGTGGCTGGATCAGTCCTGCCCCATCAGATCTCCGCTGAACTGCCTGCTACATCCACCACCTTTCCCGGTCCCTTCTCCCAGCTGCAGAGCATCGCAGAGAGATCCCGGCAGGTCCTTTCTGACCTCCCGCTCCTACGGAGGTGGCCTGGGAGGTGACAGCTGAGGGGGCTGTGTGTCCAGGGTGCAAACGGACGGAGGGAAAGGGAGGTCTCCTCTCCAGCACCTGAGAGGGGCCAGAAGAAGGTACTTGTCCAAAGCCCAAGAGAAACTCCCAGAACCCCCCAAAGCCGTGGCCGTTTGCTGGACCTCTCTCACCTCTGCCAGACCTTTGATGACTGCATCAAACAAATGCTGTACTTCCCTCTAGGCACACGCTGGCTGGAGGCCCCTCACCCTATGGATGGACCCCTCTGGTCCCTGGTGACCCTGGTCCACATGAGAAGCCTGAGAGGAGGTGGAATGGAGGAAGGCTGCCAGCTAGAGCTTTCCACGCTAGGTTGAGCAGCAAGGCAATCCAGCTTCCTAAGCACTGTAACAGATGACAAGGTGTATATTTATACCAGATACCCACATACTTTGGGTGAATTGTGCAACATGAGATTTGTCATCGTGCATCAGATCACTGTGTACCTAATCCGATACCACAGCTCTGACAACGTCGGGAGAGCTGCGCTGCCTGCAGTGATGCACCTCGCCAACTGTGCAATGCGGGAACAGAGGGTCTGGGATTAAAATTCCTCCCCAGTACCTCCAGCAATCAACTGGTACCCTGACTGCTCTTATTAGCTGAGCAGGCAGAGCTGCAAATGTAAACAATCACAAGATTAGGCAGCCTTCTAAAGACAACTAGTAGAACTGCAGCATACGTTTTTGGGCTGCCCCTCGGGCTGGATATGTTCTGAGTGGGATAATATTTCATGCTGATTTCACCTTTCTCTCCTCTGTTAAACGACTCTTGGGCTGACTGCACCCTGGATGCCAGCAGTGGAGAGTTACTCCAGTGCTGGAAGTGACCCATAATCTTTTACACCACTCCTAGCATCATCTTTTATGCCTCCCATGATCTCCCCATTCCTTGCACGCTTGGGTTTTTTTTTTTTGCTGGTGTTGGTGTTGGTTTGTTTTCTCTTTGTCATCTTTGCTGCAAGGGAATCAAGGCACCCTCCTGCCCTGGGTGTGCTGGCAGGCTGCTGCTTTCTGCAAATGCAGCCGGTGCTGCTGCCTTTGTGTTTGCAGGGCTGTCATCACCCCTTCATCAGCCCAGGGATCTGTTACTTTGCTTGCCCAGTTTTGGCTTCTGCCAGTCACAGAGCAGGGCTCTCCCCTGAGCTGTCTACAGCAGCTTTTGCAACACTCCCATGAAGAGGTACAGATAATTTCAAACCCGTTAATGTGAGCGGTTATTGGACTGCCTCTTCCCAGCCTGCGTGGCTTGACTCTGGCCAAGGCCAGAGCATCTCTTGCTCTTGCTCCCTTGGCTGCCCCTCATTTTTAGCACTTCCTGCAGCTGATTTACTGTAGACAAATGCCCTGAACTGCTCAGTTGGTGGTCTATGGAAAATCCCTTCCTCCTTGCACTGTGACCTGCAGAAAAAGGACCAGGGAGAGGGAATCCTTCCTTTGCTTTGCGGTGGAGTCTCAGGCATGGGAATCGTTTTGTTTCTCTGCTTCTCCCCTTCCAAAGGCTTCTCTTCCCATTGCAAGGACTTAGGAGTTGCTGTGAAGTAACGGACCCAGTTTTGGTCCCAGCCCTTGTGAGGGTTGGTCCCTGCAATCCCTGTCATGGCTCTTGCAGGAGTGCCGTGACTTCGTGTCTCACAGCCTGTGCGGCACTGGGGCAGTGTCGCTTCAGGCTATGTGGAATATGACTTTTTGAGCAAACACCCATCATATGGCACAATCAATAGTGCCATTTGCTCGTGTCCTTTTCTGCTTCCTTCTGTTTCGCAATCGATTCATCTTTGTTGGCATCTCCTTTTCTGTTTGGTGTATTCTGTCCTGCCAGTGCCCGGTGCAATTCCCTGCCTGCCCACCCCTAATGTAACTTGGAGCTACTAGGTGTGGAGCAAAGACTGCCTCATTTGGAATGGGTTATACTTCAGGGACTAGAACGACTAGGTTTGCCAGATGCCAGAGGACCCGGTGATTTTTTCCAACTGTAGATTAGGGCACTGGTCCTTTAAAAGCTCAAGTGGTTTTTCAGTCAAACCAAGCTGCCCAGAGTGTCCAGCAGCCTTCACATCCTTGCTGAGCTGCCAATGGCAACAATTCGTGGTGAGGCAAAGTTTGTTGGAGACCATCGTTCAAAAATTGAGACCATTGCCTGTGACCTGTCCTGGGCATCCCAACAAAGTTGGGATTGCTTTGTCATCCTATAAGATATCACATTGTCACGTGTGATCTCTGCAGAAACAGGCAGCGGGCATGCCCCTGCCAAGCTCCCCGGCTAGCATCCCCCAGTATCCCCACCTCAGCCGCTGCCTCGAGTCTCGCCTGCCTTGTCCCCAGTGCCTGGCTGGTCTTTGGTTGCCCTGCCCTTACAGGAATGCCAGGAGGATGAGGCACAGCGGGACTCCTGGAACCTCCTGAGACCCAGACAAGTGTCTGCCCATCGCACACGTCCTGCTGTGCAGGAGGTCCTTCTCTGGTGAAACTTCAGCCCTTAAAGTTTCATGTCACTGTTCTGCCCTCAATTAGCATGTGTCTTAGCTCTCCCTAACGTGGGTTAATTGATAAAGAAAAATGTCCTACCCAGGCAATTCCTGCTAGGCCCTACCTCACAGCTCTCAGGACTGTGCCCCGAGTTTGCCGAGATCTGCCTGTGTTCTGGGCTTTGGACTCTTTGCTCAGGCTCTGAGCTGCTGAGGTGTTTGCCCAGACAGTGCTAAGGAGGCAGCAACCATTCCAACTCGCGCAAAGTCCTCAGTGCTTTTGCTTTGGGACTTGCTTGTGCTGAGGGTTGGTCTAAGACATAATAAATCCTGCAGCATCTCAGGCACCAGCTTCCACAGGGATGAGATTCTGCCAGAGTGAGAAAGAACATTTCCAGTGTGAAGCCAAGCCTGGCCCTGGCGCTGCGTGTTACCATTGCTCACATTATCTGCTTGAGCTTGCAGAGAGCCTGAAACAGGAGCTCTGAGAGTTGTTCTGCCTCCTCCTCCTCTCCAGAAGAGGAAAGTCACATCCTGACAAGCAAGAAAACATGGTAGTTCGGCATCAGTTTTGAGTCAGTGAGACCAGCAAACGCTTCTGTTAACAAATATCTGAAACACTGATGAAAAAAACAAAGCAAAACTCTTTATAATAAAGGGAATCAGGTTTTATTTTTATACCCTCAAAGTTAAAAATATGCATTTCAAAATATTTACAATGACTATATATGAAATAACCTTTGTTAATGAACAGCAACATACAGTACTAGAATATATCCACCAAATCAATAAAGTCTACATAAGAAGAAAATGTAACACAGAGAGAGAGAGAGAGAGAGAGGTAAATAGCATCCATGCACAATCTGCACCTGCATGGTTTTTTATACTTTCTGCCTTTTAGTTGTGGATGGAGTCGGAGGAAGTTTTGACCTCTTGTCCCTTACAAATGCTATTTGTGACTGAGATTCTTCGAACTGACAGACATTTGTGGGTTGCAGCAGTACCAATGCCTTACTTTCCCATGCCAGGCTTTCACACAGGGACCTTGTATTACAGCGTGGACTCAAAATCTCTCAGCAACCCTGGGAGGTAGGTATGGTTTTGTGGAAGAATTTGGCAGATGGATAAAGCACTGGGTTAAGTGACTGGCCTAAGGTTGAGGCACAAGCCCTGCCTCATCTCTCCTCATCTCTCATGAGGGAATACATTTCTCTGCTAACCAGCACCATCCGCCTTTGCGATGAGCTGTGTCACAAGGCTGGGGCTCTCAATACCATGTCTTGGGTGACGATGTGGGGAAAAAAAAACCCTGCCTACAGATAAGGACTTGTCTCAGTAAAGAGCTGCGATGTTGCAGTGCTCTTACCGTTTTCTGGAGCCGAACAGAAGACTTTAGTGTAGACACACACCCAGATGACTCCCTCCCTGCATGTGCATCATTGAGCAACTGCATCCTCTGTAATTAGGAACCCCTGTGCATCTTCACCTCCCCACTTTCTCTCTCTCTCTCTCTCTCTCTCTCTCTCTCTCATCCATGCATGTATATTTGCCCTTCCTACCTGTATCTGATTCAACCATGGGAATATTAAACAGAATAGCAAAAAAAAAAAAAAATTGCTGCCTTATTTCTGTAGATATTTTAACATGAATTTAATCTGATTTCTATTGGGTTGCTTCTCAATTTAATGTCTTTAACTTTCACATATGTGCATACATATATATATATATAAAAATGTAACAAATGGCCCATCTCGTTTGTTTCAATGGACAAAAAAAGGGGTCATAAGCCTCTCTGCCCAACCCACAAGGCACACCGAAAGCTAAGTGAGAAGGGCTCTAGGAAGAGAGAAGCATGTAGCCCTTGTTTTTGTGGTGCCCTTCAATCATCACTGCTGAGCTTGAAGCTCTGTGAAGGTATGATATGACTTTGCAGAAAAGGAGAAGAGATGTCTGGGTCACTTGCAGATTTCTGGTGCAACAGCCCCAGGAGTGCTAGATCAGTTGGAGCTGTTTCTCCCTGTCTTTGGTGAAGGAGTTTCTGAGGATTCTAGCTTTGTTAGTGATTTTTCTGTGGTGGTGGCAGTGGTGATGACGGTGGCTGTTTCTGCCTATTGGCCCAACAGTTCTCTCAGCAGAGCAATTCTTCCCCATTCCCAGTAGCCAACCCTCTCCCCTGGACTCCCATCAGCCTTATTTTTTCCGAAGGACAAGGTAGAGGATGCCGATGATGAAACTGAAGCAAAAGCAGATCCAGGCCAGTATGAAGCAGTAGCCGTGGTGAGGATTTGTGAACGGGGCTGCATTGCCTGTGAACCGAGCTGTGTAAATGGAGACTCCAATGAGGATGCACATCCCTGTGGGAAGGAAGGGGGGAAAGAAAGAGAGTTGGAAACCAGCATTGCTGCAGGACTTCTCGAGTACTGTTGTCCCCTGAGACTGTAACGCACGTCTTGTGCCAAATGAGAGAGGGGCTGCTGCCCATTAGGCTTATTTATGGAGTATTTCTTTTGCAGACATAAGTGATGACATAAGGCACTCGGGGCTTGTTTAGTGGGTGCCATGGGGAATAAACCTTTGCTGGGAGGAAATCAGTACTAAGATCTGCAGACAGTTTGCTGCTACGTGTTGAGTCCCACGAGCAGTAGCTGTCTAACTGTTTATTCCCCTGTCCCCCAAAATACTTGAATCCTTTTTGTTGTCTTTCAAAGGTATTTTGCAAAACCCACTAGGCTTTTCTAATGAAAATCTGGAAATATTTTCATTAGATATAGTAAAAAAAAAACCAAAACAAACAACACTTCCCCATTGCTCAGTGCTTTGTTTTACCACAAAAATTGGGCCACTGGAAACATTTAGCTGGCTGACAACCTTCCCTGATGGCCATGCGTGGCAGACGTGTGGCTATTCGTGCTTGCGGAGGCAGTGGGACGCATGCAGAGCCATCGCAAGGCGTGTATACTTACAGCAAACCAGCATGATGGCTCCAGTGATGTAGAAACGTTTGCCTTTCTCCAGGGTGAACAGCTGGACAATGAACATGACAAGGGCGAAGACGGAGAAAATGATCGAGAGGATCATAAAGGCTTGCACGGCTTTGAGGGAAGCTGTGAACACACAGGGAATAGATTTGAGGAGGTCAGGACTCAGCCTTGGTATTGCACACCAAGGTCCTGCAATTCATCACCAGAGTGGAAATGCAGATGTAACTTACCCTCCTCACCACTGCGGACTGGCAGGTGCTCGCAGGTCCTGTTGCACAGCAGCCAGAGTCCTGATGAGGCCGTTCTGAAGTTGGAAGACCCCACCATCCAAACCTGAAACGGGGTGAAAACATTGGGTCAAGGAGGAGGGGGGCTTCCTTGCTCTTCTGGCCAGTTGTTAGACTAAACCCTAAGGGGAGCGAGAGTGGCCCAAGTGCCACGAGGCAGAGAGCTGAAAAAGTCAGCGTGTGTCGGCAGCAGATGAACAGCTGAAGGGGTGGGAGGTGACACACGCTTCCAAAGCCAGGAGGCATTTGGTCCAGGCAAAACACCGGCCAACAGCCCGGTTGCCAGATGGGATGATAAATAACCACTTCAGAGCTGTCATCTGCTCATCTCCCCTGCTCCTCATCACACTCTCTGGGATGAGAGGCATTGAGGTGCTGCTGGCTCTGGGATTTGGGAGTAGGGGGCAGCGGGCAGAGGCTGTGTCCTCTACCACCCCGGCTGCCTTTCTGTTCCCTGAGCATACCCATCATTGCTTCCTATTTACTATTTACTATTTACTCACCCACCGTCAGCGAGTGTCCCTCGCCTATAGACCCGAGCACCCACCCATCTCTCCCCCTGCCAGCCGTATAAAGGGCTGGCTGCTGCTGCGGCGGGCGACAGCCGTGTCCTGTCCAGGGTGGTCTCTACTTACGTTGGCAATGGTGGAGACAAAGAGCATGATGACAGTGGCGATGTGAACCACAAAGATACCAGCCAGTAGCACCAACATCTTGGGTCCCTTCTAGGTGGTGTCACCAGCAGAGAGAACTCTAGAGAACGAGAACGGAGGGAGGAGGTGAAGGGAAGGACTGAATCAAAGAACAGCATTACTATAAGCTTTAATTACATGCGAGAAAACAGGCTGATGTTAAATCCATTCTGGAAGCATGTAGTCACAAAAAAATCATTGCTTAAACCTTTGTCAAAATCTGCAAGGGAGTTGCTCAAGAGGTTAAAGAAAGCCTGGAGGTAAAGCAACCAGTTTGGGCGGAGATGTAGAGCAGGGGTAGTTAGCTTGGGGGCATTTTGGAAATAGCCTGAGTATATACACAGGTTGCTTAAATTGGTGTGTGGTTACGTAAAGTAAAAATTACGTACTCCAGGCCTGCACTCCAGGAAGAGGAGTTTTTGCCCACAGGACTCACAGAGGTCAGGAAAGAGTTGTTTTTTTTCTTTTTTTAATGTTCTGCCTTTCCCTCTCGTGGCTCAGCCTCCTCCAGCTGGTCTGGGACACGGGTGGGTGGTGTGGAGTGGAGGGCTCCGTGCTCCTGGGTGCACCAGGGGGTTAGCAGCGGTGGAGAGTGGTCTGGGGGCTGCCCCTACTCAATGGCCCGCTCCATTATGGGAAGGGGAGAATAACCAGAAGAGAAACACCACTGAGGTGTTCTGGGGCAGAGGAAGGTGCTTAGGCTGGCAGTGAAAACTGCCTGTTTCCCTTTTAAAACTTGAGGCATGCAGATCATTTTGTTACTGCAACAGGATTCTCTAGTAACGCAAACTCCTCTCTGGTTTGATTGTTTTGGGTTTTTTTGTCTCTGTACCCTGCAAGCTTTTACTTTTTGTGAAGATTCCCCGTCGCTGATGAGCATGTGACTGGAAAGGGAGGGGAATGTGGTTTGGATAGCTCTCGTGACACTGTTCGTCAAGGCTGCTGACTTCTCCCAGGAAAACGTGAAATGCAAACAGCAAATCTAGGCTGTGAGGGTGAGTGCCGACAATTCACACAAAGTGAGCGAGCGTATTTCCCCTCCTTCCAGGCACTTATTAGTAATTCTGCAGTACAGCCACAGAAATCAGGTAGAAGAGTTTACTGGGTTTTACCATTTTACCCTGACCAGCAGAAGACTGCTTCCTAGAAAGTTTCACAGGGCTGTGTCGCTCCTTCTCTCGGTGGCGTTGGTACTGAGGAGCAGTGTGAAGTATGTGATTAATGCTGGCTGTCAAGTTATTTTGGTCCAGGTGACTTGGGTAAGGTTTGTTGCTGTCACTATTTGCACAGGGTGTGGTAACATTGTCATGGAACAGCACAATTATAGTTTATGATGTCTTTCGCACAAACTGTAACAAAAGGCTTTATAAAGACCCATAAATGTGTTGTTTTTTTTTTTCACTGAATGACTTCACCTTCTCCACTGCTGTCTTTCCTCTCATTGTGGCCATGCGTGGGAGTGTATTCCTGTAAAGTGCTGCAGCTATTCCTTGCACTGCTTTGGGTACGGCTTCCCAAACCGCAGCGGGCGGGCAGGCGTCTCCATCAGTGGCCCTTTGCCCAGTTCAGCATTAGCAGAAGACCAGGAGGAATTCCTTGAGTTCAGGGTCTCAAGGAACCCGCTCTGTTGGGTCACTCCTCCCACCCAAAGGAGGCCACTCCTCAGGAGGACAGACGAGGTCTGGTGACTGGTCCTATCCCCTCAGCAAGAACTTGTCTGCTGTGAGGTTTCCTTCACCTGGAAGAACTCCCTGGCGTTGTTCAGCCCTGGCTTGCTGAACATGGCTTGCTTCTCTGCTTTGGGATGTCCTAGCAAACTCCTCATGCTCTAGGACTTGATTTGCCTGGATGGCCTGGTCGCTGTGCCCTCTCTTGTCACCGTACCCCCCTTAGCGATGATCTTGGAGAAAGTACACCCTTCCTAGGAGTTCCTCTCTGACTGCAGTGACAGTCATTTATGAGCTGGGCATTGCTAAAATCCAGGTTCTCAATACTGTCTGCAGGCTACCACATGGACACACCCGACCTGAGCATTAAACCCCTTCTTTCCATCGACTGCAAAAGGAATGAGGGTTTCAAAATGCTGGATGGCAACTGATAGGGATATCGCCGCTGTACCTTGAGCTGAAAACTATTGCTGTTGCCATGACTAAATGATGTATCTGCAGCAGGTGCCGTGAATAGAGCCTCTGAGTCAAATCTTGCCATCCCTTTGACTCCTTCTCATTTTTTTTTCTGATTACCTTGGTTCTTACACAAACTGTAACAAGTGCTCTTGCCACCGTGGTGTATTGGTATGCATATGCCAAATGGTGACAAATTTGCCTGCTCTGAAATTTGCCTTTACTGAACAGTGGCTAAACTTTCTTCTTTCTTAGATAGACGTATTTTTCCATGGACTCTTTAAAAACTAATTCAGAAGTTTTTTTGCCAATTATTTTTGAGGTCCTTCAAAAAAGCCCTGTATTTGAAAGACTGAAAACCTACTTTCATGACACCCTAAAGGACTCAAACAGTCCTTTTAAACGCATCTTCTGTTTGTGTTCAGAAATGAAAATGAGCAATAAATGTTACTTTTCAATGGGAAAAAAAAAAACCCACACCCAGAACTTTGACCAATATGCTAAGGAAAAAACCCAAATCCTTTATTGCCTTTGCTTTTTCTGCCCCATTCTTGCACTGCTTGAGAGCACTGTTAGTTCAGGTGCTTTCAGTGCACCTATTTCCTGAGAACGTCAGCACCTCTCCCTGAATACACATGCTATCAAATGCAAACTCCCCCAGAGATATGTGCGCGCAGCTTAGTTTTGATTCTTTGTGAGTTAAAGCACAAGCCTCCCTCTCTATTCATTCGCTTTCCCCTTCCTTCATCTCTCCCTGCCTTTTAAATAAAGCACTAGAGAACAATCCCAAAGGAGCAGTGGGTGAACAAATGGCATTGAAATAGAGTCATCCCTGTCTCTGATGGTACAGCATGGACTTTTCCTCCCATTAGTGAGCGAAGCTGGCAGAGCATTGGTGACTGACAGGATACGCTTTCCATTTGTTAAGTGTGAGACATCTTTCTCCACTACAGGGTGGGGTCACATTGCTGGAGCAATAGGACACACAATTGCATGCAAATGCCTTTTCTTCCATTCCCCTACCTAAAATGCAGCTGGATTTGCAGCTCCTCAGGCTCTTCTTGGGCTATGAGTCAGTCTTAGCCTTCCTAGAGCTGCCAGTTTTTTCCACTGACTCACCCCAAAGCTCCCCAAACCACAATTATTTAACCCTGCAAGTGTTCAGGACACTGTCAGTTTCGGGACAGTTTCTTCAAGAATCAGTCAAGCAACCAGGTCGTGAATCCTGCATTGAGCCTCCTGGCACATCTTCCAGAGGAGAGACCCCAGCTAAGCCCAGAAAAACAGCTGAGACATGAAAACCAAATGACTGCTGAGGTAGGACAGGCTGGTGGGAGGGCATGCACCTGCTGGACAGCCCGTGTGAGCCAAGG